GCCATCAAGATTACTGTTGTGGTTCACAGGTTAGGTCTGGAAGTCTGAGGGATGGGCTGATTTCTATATTGGAACGAGGCCAGCCTCAGCGCTAGGGTCAGTCTTAAGCTATGCTAAAACGGAGCCTGTACTCTTTTATTTCAGAATATTGAAACTAGAGACTTGCTTTAGAGTAAAAATCCCTCTGAATTCGTATAGATTGAAAAAAAAATCCCCTCTCGAGTTTCATTCAATTTTGTCGCAGAAATGACTTTAAACTCACAGCCATTGACCTTGTGTACATGGCTTCTTCCCAAAGAAAATAAAGCAAGTCTGGTCCGAGCCAATTTGGCTCGTCAGGCTGATGTTTATCTCCGGTTTTCTTGGCATGAAACAACTGAGAATATTTCTATTCCCCCCGGATGGGATGCCAAACATCGCAGGCTGCTTCCCAGCCGGTACTCATGTATACTCCTGGGTGGAGAGAGGCAAGCAAGGGTGAAGTGACTTGCCAAGGGCCACAACACATACTGCCTGCAGCTGGATTCGAATCTCCAACCTTGTGAATATATACCTACCATCCGAATGAAAACATCACCTTAATTGATCGTCAAGACATTTTCACGTGTTCATGACAGGTCCATGAGTAAAGTGAGTCTCTGTATTCATCCAGATCAAAGTACCATGTAAATTGTGATCACAAAATGTCTTGCAAACACACCATGCCGAGTTTTGTATTAAAAAAACAGTGTTCCTTAATGTACCTAGAGTACGGCCAACCTTTGCACTGTCGGTAATGACGTAATCTCTTTAACTTATACATTTTTTTAAATTAATGTAGTTCCTGCCACAGGAATGCTGGAATAGTGCCTAATCCGTTGTTAAACTAAATGTAATAGCTTATCTAATTACCTTTTACATGTCGAAAACGTTTTTTTCTTTTTAAATAGCTGCAATCAACCTTTCTTCTCTCAGCTTGTTAACGAAGTTAGAACCGAATAATATCGATTTTCTGAATACAGTTGTCTTCCATGTAAGATTTCTTCTAGTAGATACAAGCAAACATTAAACAAATTGGTCAAGACATGTCCTCTTGTTTCTCCAAATCTTTGCTTCCACCCGGATCTTTTCTTGTGGAAGTGCATTTTGGAAACGAGTGTGGTGGCTTAGCTCACACAGGAAAGTTGGTTTAACTTTACGTTGCACGGGAATGAAATCTAAAGGCGGGATAATGCGGGTTTTGGGGGGAGGGGTCAACTTGTTAATGAGCGGGGCAGGGGAGGGGAGCAAGTCGCCTCACAACAGACACATTTGTGTTTTTAAAGCTATTGAAAGCACCAAACTTTCGAAATACCACCTTTGGGGAGATTTTTGTTGTAGATGAAAAAAAATGTGGACCTCCAATTGTGAGGAAAACAAATCCCACTTTGCCCACCCTCCCGGACTCAGTCGAAGCTGGGATTCGCCACTGACCTGATGGCTGGGACTCTGCGATTAACGTGATAGTGACGTAGTTTTGGCTAGGCAAAATACAGCCGAAGTCCATCTTATGATAAAAAAAAATTGAGATAATCCTCAAACCATCTGATATCGTTTGTTCATAAGTATAGTAAAAAAAAAATTTAACGAGAAACCAAACCAAACAAACCCCAAAAGAGTGGTTTACAAAAAATTTTACAAACGTACCAATCAACAGCATACAGCAGTAAAGTTTTTGCAAAAGGAATCTTTAAAAAAATCATAAACTCGAGAGCTTTTCCCCCAAGTAACTACGTACAATGAAAGGGGCTATATTAAAAAATCAACTTCGCACCCAGCGATGGGAAGATGTAACCGTCAGACCATCACAAGCTTAGGACACAGTAATTTTTAGTTATAAAACAGAATTCTGTTATACCTTGTATTTTGACAAGGGAAATTTTCCATAAAATCAGACTGTGGTATGGCCATGGAATCAACGTTTTTCAAAATGGTGATAAACCAGCTATCTAGCTCTATGGTCCGTGACATCCCATGTTATGAGCAATAGAACTGAGTTTCATGACTGTAATTTCCCGAAAGCAACCCCTTCCCCCTCCCTATAAAAATTTCAGTGATGGAATGAGTTTTAATGCGTCTCAAACACTTTGGAGAGTTGTCTTCTGTGGTGACATTGTTTCTGATTAGATTTTGGTTTTAAAGCTCTGCAGATGCCAACTAAACTCGAGAGGCGCTGGAAGTTGCGCCTTTACAACGCTGAGGGGGTACGAACACGCGTACAAGCCACAGAACCCACGGAGGGCGTACTTCCCATTCTCAAACCGGTCTACAGGTGACGTGCATGCGCGCTGTATCGAAAACCCATTTACAGAACTACGGACGGTGTGCCCTGCAAACAACACGGCCGGCCCTGCACGTGGGTGCGGTAGCACACTTGCGCGCGTGTGGTATGGTGAGCGGACGGTGGTCGCTTTAATCCGTTTATTTCCTCGACTTTGTGTATCATCAAGACAACACGTAAGAAATTAGTCTCTGAGGAATTGCTGGCACACCTACGTGATACGGAGTAAGAAAGTAGGATCAACACTAGGCATGCTTTCACTTAGCGCTTACGCCTCAACTATAGTGTCTGGCCCAACAAGTTACAACTGCGTGCTGCAGTTGGGCTGGCCCAACTAGTGTTGACCAATTTCTCAGCCTTATCCAGGTTTACAAGTCTCGTACTTGACACAGTTCATCTACAAAATGGCACTTCATCTGTAACATGACATTGTGAACAATATGACTTGGCCACATGCACACTGGATCTCTGTGCTATAGTTGGGCCGGCCGAACTATACTCACGCTAGTTGGGACCGGCCGAACTATATTTGGGACTGATGCTGTAGTTGGGGCATAACACCTACAGTACATACATGGCCCATTCCTGTGAAAATGACACGAGTAACTTTAGTTTAGTAGGCCCACTTAGATTTTGCACAAATCTTGCAAATTGTTTATCCCTCCCAAGCAAGTCGTTGGGTGTGATGATGTGCCCACGTGCAGCTGTAATACTAAGCCATCCCATGATGTAAGCCCAACAACAACAACCCCATCTTCACTTTGGCATGCTGTGCATATTTGAATTGTTGAAATGATATTTGACGCAATTGCATCAGGATAATGTAGATCAGAGTTAATAATAGTCTGAGCCACTTAGACCGACCATGTAGACTCTACAAATTGCCTTTTTAGAGATTTGGAGATGGTCCGGCGAAACATGGCAATGTAAACACACAGTCTATTCATCAGTGTGAAGTCGCCAACTTGGTCTGGAAATGTGGACTCAACTCGCTCCGAGTCAACTCCGTCTCAGGTCAACTTGGTCCCAACTGGAAGGCAGGCACATGGCTGCAGCATGAATAAAAATCTTCCAAGTTAGTTTCCTAGGGGATAGTTTACCCCATAAGTAGTGACCATACATGTACCGGTGCGATTTCAGCTCATAAAATCAAGCGGATGTTTAGTTATGCCCCTGGATATCCCGGATAAAGTTTTTCCAAAAAAAAAATCCCTACGAATCAGGACGGGGCCCAGTTTATGACGGATGAGTATACGTCAGGCCCTGTCTATGGGTCTACCTTTCAATAGACCTACATCCATGATCATGTTGGCCTACGTAGGCCTGCATCGTACATGACAAAAAATGATGAGTTTATCCACTTGCTACTCTCACTGTGTACTGTACTGAGTTCCAAAGCCTTTGCAATTACATCAATCACGTACTGTATGTAGGTCTATTGACCTGATTTCCATTTTATTATTTTTTTTTAAGTGCAAAATGAACACTTTGAAAATGTACCCACTGTGAAGAAAGTAACTACTAATGTTACGCCGACTTTTCTGAAAAAGAAGTTTGTACATGTGTAAGAGGTGTGCCCCCCTTTTTTTCTGTTTACTAGTCCCCTTAAAATTTTACTCTTTACTGTTTTCTTTCTTTTGTATGATACACCCAACCACTTTTTGTTTTTGCTGTTGGAGTTTCAACTTGGTTTGGCCCACTACACCTGTGTTTACTGTAGATAGATCCCCTTCTTGAAAGTGGAGTGACCCTGGATGGGGTGGTGCACTGATCTGGGTGGTGTGGTCCAGCATGCTTCAGTGCTGTACCATTCACTACCTATTCCAACCACCTTGTCTGTGTTCTCTCCTTTTCAGCCTGCCAGCAATCAAGGGTCACAAGCCCCCCACCCCCATTACACATGTGTGTATATTTAGGGGTAATGTTAGAATTTATCAACTTTGAAGAACTTCTTATGTTGGATGTGGTATTTTAAGAGATTTCTTCATGTGTGCCACAAATAGGGAACAGTCAGCTGAATTTGTGCCAATTTCTGGATGCTGTCATTTTTTAATTTCAGGTTTTTAGATTTTCATGACACCAAAATTGTTCACAGAGGGGATCAGTAGCATGTATTTTAAAGGTTATAATATCAGTATTTACTGTAACTGAATGAATCCAAATTTTTTTCAGCAAAGAGGTTTGGCAGTGATGCATGAGGAACGTCAAGGAAATGTCGAAGAGTGGCACGTTAGAGACTCAACTTCATTAGTGCCAGGCAAGTGGACTGTACCTCCGTATATGTGGCCCTACTCCTAAACTAGAAACAAGTTGAGGAAGGATTAAACATTGGGATAAAGCTCCCCGGCTGTGAACGGTATCAGCCACATACAGGTATTTCTTAACTGCCTTTTTGATTAATTTACCCAGCAGTTTATCATGTTCGATTTTCCAAAATGGTCAATTCCTGACCATCATGCCTGTTGGTGAATTATTTGTTATCTCGATACCATCATTTTGTTGCAACTTTGATTTGCTCAAGATCTTCACTGGCAGTGAACATGTACAACTCCAGACACCAGCAGTTGTGGTGATCTCTGAGAACGTTAACAACTGCATAACAACCATATTAGGTGCGTTCAACTAGCCTCTATCATGTGTTTGAATGAATCTATTTTTAAGGGGAGTAGCTCCCCATAGGCTTCATGCCTGTAAAAAGTGTGCAGTATACCAATGCGGTCATTGCAAAAGTTTAGGACCACTGTAGTGTGCCGTCCTTTTTTTCTGATTACTTTTTTTTTTTACCCATGCTGCCTTACAGACAAAATATAATACAAGACCTGCCTTTGCAAAAAGTTTCATTCCAATGGGTATACAGATAGCACTTCTACAGTGATGTTATGCACCATTCAATGAGACAATGTAATGCAGGCCCAGTGAAAGAAATTCCAATAAAATTCCAGACGGTCTTAAACTTTTGCAAATGACTGTAGTTTTGAGTTCCCCATCCTTGCATTTTATTTTGCCACATACTTGTAGTGTGGCCGTGATACTCGGTGAAGCAGATCAGCAGAGACAAGTCAACTTACATGTACATGTCATGTATTGTTCCACCAAACTGGATTGTGGTTTTCTACTCGAGTCCTGTCTGCTAGAGTCAGTGATTGAAGTCTTAGTGTACATGTATTCTTATAAGTTCTGTTTGACACACTGTGCTGGTGAATGCTAAAAATGCCGGCTTATTTTGGACTGTGTGACTTGTCACAGCTGGCACTGTGACTCGGCCGTCCCATGCTTCATTTTGTAAAAATTAGGTGTGCTCAATCCAATGCCATTTGAAGTTCAAAACCACACACAGTGTATGTACTGGCCTGCCTAGATGTACATGTACATTGAGCATGACAGTGGTATCAAGTTTTGGCTGATTTTTTATTTCACAGCCTCCCCAGCTCTTTTTTGGTTGAACTTTAGTTCATGGTTTCATGCCTTATTTTTCAGTTTGGTCATTTTTTTTTTTGAGGGTTTTGATAATTGCATGTGGAATTAATGTGTGAGTCCCTGTTGATTCAGTTCACTGCAACTTTGCCGTTGAAAATTCATTTGGTCTGAGTTTCTCTTATTGTGATAGCTTGCTATTTTTCCAGGTCTGCCTTGTAATCGAATGCACCCTATATGCCTGCATTGCATTGGCACACTTTGATGCTGGACCCCACACCTGCATACACACCTGGCAGCTGGCAATCAGGTAAGAGATGACTGGACGATGGAGACACTGGAGACACGTAAGTCTGGATATAACATCATGCACATGTACATGTAGTAAGCCTTTTGCGAGTTAAATTTGGATAAAATCTGGTACACTGAGTTCTTTAAATTCACGTGAACATAATTGGAATTCTCCATACTAAAGCCACTGTTGCTGTACCTCGTGATTCGGGGCAAGCATTTCCTTAGTTACATAAGAGACACCTTGCAACAATACACTGTTCTCAAAACAGCACAAAGGAACCAGTCCAGTCCAGAGATGGTGGACATTTTAATGTCTCCCTAATGCTCCAACTACCAAAAGGAGGAAAATTCTTACCGTCCACATTTTGAGAGATGATAGATTAGGGTCTGAAAGGAAAACATGCAAAGTTTGGTTAAGATCAGATTAGGGAATATTGAATTATTGGACGGTAAAGTTTGAAACATTTTGTGCACGTTCCTATAGGAATGTCTCCCAAGTGACCCATTTTCGGTAATAAGAATCAATTAAATCATTTTATGATTATTTTAATTTCACAGATCAAGCCCCTTATTGTCATAATATCTGCTCTTGGAACATTGATGGAGGTCCAAGCAAGACGGTCAGATTGCGGAATCAAAGAGGGCCAGCAGTATACAACCTTTAGAAGAGAAGTTTAAAGGGTTACAGAAATAGACGACATTTAGTTCGCGTGAAGCATTTCAAAATAATAATAAATACATAACCATCTCAAAAAGATCATAAACTTAATGTTTATATTTACCGCATTAATTGTGACAACAAAATGAATTTAAAAATCCTGCATTTCCCCGCCCATCCCTTTTGGCTGTTTGCTCTCCCAGGCTGACTGGATGACGTCATCGCCAGAACGATGCATGTACATGTACAGTGTACATGTACATAGCGCACATTACATGCAGTATCGCATGCATTAGACCACGTATTGTTTGATTTAGCTTGATGTAGCTTTGATGAAAAAAATTCAGGCTTGGGATGGCCAAGATCTCGGCTGTGAGATGGTACAAAATATTCCAGTAACTTCAGGGTTAACATTGGT